ATCAGTGAGGGCACCACTGTATTTCTTCAGACTTATGATACCATCAATTAATATTCATCATTTCATTTATTTACTAGGAAAGGCAAAACACAATTTTAATTACATCATCATTCATTGAGGACACATGTGAACTCTAGAAACTTTGAAACGTGGGCAAAAACTGCTGAAGGGGGCCGGCGCTATAGCACAGTGGGTTAAAGCCCCAGCCTGCAGCACCAGCATCTCATATGGGCGCCAGTTTGAGTCCCGACTGTTCCTCTTCCAATCCAGCTCTCTGCTGTGGCCTGGGAAAGCAGTGCACCCACATGGGAGATCTGGAAAAAGCTCCTGGCTCCTGGCTTCAGATCAGCTCAGCTCTGGCCATTGCAGTCATTTGGGGAGTGAACCAGCGGAATGGAAGACCCCTCTCTCTCTCTCTCTCTCTCTCTCTCTCTCTGCCTCTCCTTCTCTATGTAACTCTGACTTTCAAATACATAAAATTATAAAAAAAAAAAAACTGATGAAGTACAAGAACTCAAATCCGAGTTGGTGGCATAACCCTGGGACTACCCATCTCCAGTGGGCAGCTCACCTCTGGCAGAGCAGGGAGTCAAGGGATGACACCGAGGAAGCAGGTGCTGGGGGCTTCAGCAGCAGCCCCTGGACAGCCTGACACAGGAGTGCCCACTGCCAATCCCTGCTCTGCCCAGCGTGGTGTCCTGTGCTCCAAACAAGGCACAGCCCCCAAACACACCTTCACTCAGTGTGCGTCGTGTCTTGATGAGGCGGCATCACATCCCAAGGTGAGCCCAGACCAGGATGAGAAGGCAAAGGCTTCTAGGAGACAGGCATTTGGCACAGTGGTTAACATGGGTCTCGGGATGCCTGCATCGTATATCCGAGTTCCCGGGTTTATGTCCTGACCTGGCTCCCAATTCCAGCTTCCTGCTAACGCACACAGTGGGAAGCAGCAGGTGACAGCTCAAGTATCTGAGGCCTCTGCACCCATGTGGGAGACCTGGCTTGAGCTACAGGCTTCTGGTTTCAGACTTGCCCAGCTCCTGCTGTTGGAGCATTTGGGAAGTAAACCAAGGGACAGGAGATAACTCTCTGCCTTCAAAATAAAAAAATTAATTAAAAAAAAATTAAAAAGCCAAATCTTAAAAGACAACAAAATGAGATTAATAAAGGAGATTTTCCATGTATTGGTCAGCTTTTCATAGCTACAAGAGAAAAGTTTTAATTAACTCCATTTTGGAGATTCCAGTCCAAGTTCAGGCAGCCCCATTGGGTTGGCCTCTGATGAGGGTGGCAGATGGCACTTGTGGCCGAAGGATCACATGGCCAGCCTGAAAGCAGAGAGTGCTTTTATAAAACCCCCCGTCTGGGAACTGCCTTCCAAGGGCAGGCCCTCGGTGCCCAGAGCACCTCCCGGGAGGCCCACCTCTCATCACCATAACTGGGTTAAGTTTCCACTCTCTTAGTGTATTAACTCATTACTCTGAGGTCTAAATGTCTGCATGAGATCCGGAGCCACATCAAGTTCAAACCAGAACAATCCACTACCCGAGTTTCTAATTTGCTGAGCCAATAAAAAGCACAAAGGCTACACAAAGTATTCTTCAGAAAGACTAACACATAGTAGGTGTTCAACGGGTGGTAACCCCCATCCCCTGTATCATCCCACCAAGAAGCCCTGTGTTTCCCCAGAGACAGAGTAGAGATAGCATAGAAAACTGAGAATTTCGGGGGGAGTGATGAACAGCTTAATGGGTGTCCAGAGCTATCTCGCTACGTGACGGGCTCAGGAATTGCCTCCACCATCCAGCATCACGACCAAGAACCCAAACACTGTGTCCCATCAAGGGCCCAGGATTGAATCCCAGCTCTGCACTGACCTTGGGCAATGTACTTAATTTTTCTACACCTCAGTCTTTATCTGTACATTGTGGAGGGGAACAGAGTATTACATGAGCTAATGAATCAAAGCACAGACTGCACAGGCCCTGACTGTCGCTCCCCCTCTTCGTGGAGGAACGACACAGGACCCTGCGCTGTTCTTTTGTCTGCTCGGCCCTCCCCGGGTTTGCTGTTGGTTCTTCCCGGGTTGGCTACTATCCCTTCCACCTCCGTGGAAGGGCAGTTCCCCCTGGCCACATTCCCCACTTCCGCAGGGGAGCGGCACACCGTCGGCCGGCTCTTCTCGGGGGCTGCACAGGTGTTCCTTCAGCTAGATGTTCCCCTTAGATGTTCCCCATAGATGTTCCTGGTGCATGCCGTCTCTCTCCTCCTTTATAGTCCTCCTCCGCCAATCCTAACTCAGCTGCCCACACGCCGAGTACGCTGCTCTCCTCCAATCAGGAGCAAGTCCTACAGTTTATTAGCTGAACTGGAGGCAGCTGTGTGGAAGCTGTTTACTTCTCTCCCAGCGCCATATTGTGGGAGAGCAGATGCATAGAATAAGTCTTAATTCCAGTAACTCAGTCCAGTCCGGGCTGCTCCCCACACTTCTCTCCCAGCGCCATATTGTGGGAGAGCAGATGCATAGAATAAGTCTTAATTCCAGTAACTCAGTCCAGTCCGGGCTGCTCCCCACACCTGACAAGCTTAAAGACTCATAAACATTACGTACTATTAAATCATTCCTCCTATGGCCTATTGGCCTTGTAATAATTTTTTTGTTTTGTTTTCAAATCACAAGTCTGGATTCCATCTTGCCAGGAACCATGACTCTGAGCTAATTGCCCCATCAAATGTCCTCAAGGGAATGTCAACAAATCAGTGAAACTGAGCCCAATAGAATTAGGCAGGTTATGTCTAATCACTGAATTTCTGTGCTAAAGGCATGATATAGGGGCTGGTGCTGTGGCGTGGTAGGCTAACCTTCCACCTGCAGCACTGGCATCTCATATGGGCACCTGATTCGTGTCTCAGCTGCTCCTCTTCCAATCTAGCTCTCTTCTAAGGCCTGAGAAAGCAGCGGAAGATGGCCCAAGTGCTTGGGCCCCTGCACCCACGTGGGAGAGGCTCCTGGCTTCAGATTGGTTCCACTCCAGCCATTGCAGCCATTTGGGGGGTGAACCAGCAGATGGAAGACCTCTCTCTCTGTAATTCTCTCTTAGATAGATTTAAAAAAAAAAAAAGACATGGGTAGAGTTCTGGCTGACATGGATTTTAGTGGTGAGTACCAGGTTTCCGTCAGTGCAGATGCCGGCTGCAGCGCTGGTGAGAAGGCCTGCACTGGGGTTACGGGTTTTCCCAGCTAATCCTCTGACCCTTCGGCCTCGCCATTCGTAACAGGCACAGAAAGCTGTGCCCAGCCATTTCAGACACACTTGGCCTTGGGAAGGGAAGCTTGGAAGTCAAGAGCAAGGGGTAAGATTTCCATTCTGGGGAAAATAAAGGTGGCAAAGGACTATAAACCAAGGCTGGAAATCAGGAAAGGTGTAAAGAGAGTAAATGCAAAAGGAAACAGCCTCAAAAAAAAAAAAAAAAAAGGCATTGAAAGCAAATTCAATGAGGCTTCACCTACTGGTTAGTACCAAATGGAGTATGTTAAAACAAGGCATGTTGCAGACCAAAAATGCCAAGTGCTGGAGCCACATTACACATCCATTGCATAACCTCTTCAGTTATGAACACCCACCTGGCATTTAGCCACGAAAATGCATCTCATGGAAATGTGTACCTTCATGGTGTTAAATGAAAAAGGTGTTGGGGTGCAATAAATATGTATACCTTCAAGTCCCCGCTTTGTACAAATAAATATGTATACCTTCAAGTCCCCGCTTTGTACAGGCACCAGGCCAGCGCATGTATGTCTCTGCCTCTCATCCCTGCATTGACATGTGGACCTTCCAGAGTTCAATTTGGGGTGTGTGGCTCACTAGACTGCTCACATGAGCACACAATGAGGTGGCCTGGTGGCCTCACCCCATTACTCCTGATCCCACTGATGGGCTCTCTGCTTCTGCTTTTACATCTCGACTTGGACCCCTCGCGTGTTGCTGGACTCAGCTCCTAATCTTCTAGACGCAAGCATGCACCCTGGAGGAGGTGTGAAGGGCAATGCCTCTGGCCAGGGGACACATGTGCTCCTTTGACATGGATGCTGGGCTCTGTGCTGGGTGCTGACCACTTCCTAGTGAGAGAGATGCGCCCCACATCCTGGGAGGGATCCTCCCACCTCTGGGCAGTGTGGGCTGAAGGCAGGACAGCTGCCCACACTACGTCTTGGCCTTCTTCTTGCCCAAGCTCACCTGGGTAGAGGGACTAAGAGCCCTGATGCCACCTCTGTCCACCTCTTCCTCTCCTCCCTGCCTGGGAGAAAACCTCTGGAGCCCTTCACTGTTTCAGAGTGTTATTCATAACAGTGAAGACGATCCCATACAGAGCCTGGGTGTATCCCAGAGGCCCCCAGAAGCCAAGAGACTGCCACTCTGTGCCTCAGCTTCCTCAGCTGTCAAGCAGGTTGGCACTTAAGGTGCCATCCCAAGGAGTTGAGCAATAAAATGGGCTCATCCACATAACACCCTCAGGGCGATGCCTGTCCTGGAAGCATTTGATGAGACTGGTCTTACGTGGCAGCTTGCAGTCAATGCTGATAATTCAGAAAACAGCTACACTAGCTGGGGAGGGTGAGCAAGGACTGGCATTGGGAACGCAGACCCCTGCCCCCCAAAATGTCCTAACTCCCAGAACCTGTGACTGTGACTTTATTTGGCCAATGAGACTTTACATTTGATACTAGGTTAAGATCCTCAAGATGGAATCGTCTGAATTATCAGGGTGAGCCCTATCCATCACAGGTGTTGTCATAAAGCCACACTGAGACGGCCAGGTGGAGACGGTGGCAGAGACGACAGTGATGCCACAAACGAGGGAACACCAGAAGCCTCTTCTAAGGCAATGGAGGACTGTCCCCGAGGGCCTTGGAGGAAGCAGTGCCCACACCACCGGGCCAGACTCCTGGCCTCCAGCACCTTGGACGCCTCTCCAACCTGGACGTGCACTGCAATTACCTGAGAATCTTGCTAGCCCGCAGGTTCTAAGTCAGCAGGTGGAGGTGAGAACTGAGGCAGCACATTTCTGCAACGCTGCCAGCCGCATGAGGTGCGGGGTAGCCAGGTTTAGAGCATGTTGGCGGCAGCCTCAGTGTGACGAGGAGGGCATCACTGGAACAAAGGGGCTGAGGTCGTAGAGCCACTCAGCCACAATGCGGGAGTCCAGCTGAAGAGGATAAAGAGGGGACGAAGTCATTGACCTTTGGTGGCACTTGTCCCTGTGCTCAATCGAAGCTTCTGCATTGAACGGCAGCTCACCCAGGCACTGCTAATGGATTCTGATTGCTCTAGTTCATCACTCCCTAACAGGGTCAACCAAGAAGCGCTCTCATGATTTTTGATTTGGAGGGGTGGGGCGTGGGAGAGGGGCAGGCAGCAACAAAGACAGACTTCCTCACCCACGGCTCACAGAGAGGGCAGAATGGGGGAATGGGAACTTTGATGACTTTGTTCCCTAATATCTACGATCTTGATGGGATCTTGAACTTATTAATCAATACTTCTGTCCTCATGCTTCCAGTGGGTGAAGAACACTTGAAACAAAATGGGGATGAGAATTTGCCTCTAACGTAGCCTGGGCTCCCACCGACTGGGTTCTGAGAGGCTCAGCTTGCTCACTGGCACACACGCCCAGCATGCGGCTGAGTGTGGGGAGCTTTGCCTGCTAACAGGGCCTGTGATAAAAGGAAAAGGGGAAGGCAAGGAAACAGGTTCCCCAAATCCCAGGTCCAGTGCAGGAATGGGCACAGACACAGGTGACCTTCAGCCTGAATTCTCCTGCATTCTGCCACAGGACTCTCCAGCACCAACCCCCACCACGGCCCAACCCATCCCACACACGACTCTAAGAGGCTTCATGAAAACCAGTGACGTCTTGTTGTCCATGGCAACTCGGTCCCCAGGCTTTCCGTCCTGTGCCGACAGCACTCCATCAGTAGCAGCTGCCTAAAGGAAGTTGAGTCGTGGGCACTCGGGCAGGAGGCACAGCAGGCTGGCCTTCCCGTGCCTGCCAGGGGCTCAGGGCAGGCGAGCAGTTCTGTGCCGTTTCCGTCTGGATGACAGAATAAAGTCATCTTGGCTTTCAAGCTCCTCAAGCTGTCTTAAGACACCCTCTCCCGCTCTTCCCCAGTCACCGGGACCACCTTCTCCCCTGCACCAGCCCCCAGTGCTCCCCAGCACACGACTCTGCCTCTGTGGCTCAGCTCAGGCCAGGCCTTCCACTCTCGCGGCCGAGTCTCCCTCCCCATCCTCAGCTCTGGGCCTCTCATCACTGCCCAAGCGCTTCCTTTCCTGCGACGGCTCACGTCTGCATGAGAGTCAGGGCGGCGATGGGGACGCCGGAGTCTCCCCAGCTTTCTGCTCCCTGCTCAACTGTCTACTCCGAAGCTCATGCTGAAATGTGACTGCTTTCCTAACACTAGGAAGAGGCAGGGCCTTGAAAGCTAGGTCCTGTGGGCTCTTCTGGTCTTGCTAATGCAGACTTGTCAGGAGAGGGAGAGGGAGGGAGAGAACCAGAGGATGAGAACTTCAAGGCAGTGTGTGGGTTGGCTGGGCTTTGTGTTGAGGGAGAACAGGCTTTGTGAGGCTGCAGGGCTCCAGGAGGCGGAGAGAGTGGATTTATAAGAAATGCCACTGTAGGGGCCACCACCACGGCGTAGCGGGTAAAAACACCACCTGCAGTGCCAGCATCCCTTACGGGCACAGGTTTGAGACCCAGCTGCTCCACTTCCGATCCAGCTCTCTGCTATGGTTTTGGGAAAGCAGTAGAGAATGGCCCAAGTCCTTGGGCCCCTGCATCCATGTGGGACACCCAGAAGAAGCTCCTGGCTTCAGATGGGTGCATTCCAGCCATTGAGGCCATCTGGGGCATGAACCAGCAGATGGAAGACCTCTCTCTCTTTCTCTCTCTCTCTCACTCTCACTTTCACTCTCTCTGCCTCTGCCTGTAACTCTGCCTTTCAAATAAATAATTTTTAAAAAAGAAAGGAAGAAATGCCACTGTGGTCTACATACGCCCCATCCCACACTGGACAAAAGCAAGGAAGCCCTTCTTATCATGTAGCCATCCTGAGGCCACAGCCGCGTTCTGGGTGCCGATCTCCTGGGAGGTGGCCCTGGCCAGCCTTCATGTGCTCTCTTCCTGGCATGGTCTAATCCATCACCTCCTAGACCTGAGCACCAGGGTCCCACGTGGGTCTCAGAGTGACAGAGAAAGCCCTCCAAGCATAGCCTGCCTCCTTACCCCCTACTCTACAGATTAGGAGCCCCAAGCCCAGAGAAGCGGGTCCGTTAGCATCCCAGAGTCCACTGAGGCTGAGCCGCCCGGGAGAGGCACTTATCCTGGGCTGGTGTCAAGGGTGTGGCTGACAACAGCACTGTTTTCCCAGGGGAGGGGCATTCGGTGAGCAGATATCAAATCAACCCGTTGGGCAGGCATTAACGGGATACACTCTGCAGAAAAGGCACCTGGGTGAAAATGTTACAGATTCTTGACACCTGTGCTGAGGACACTGCCCCCATGTGAGTGAGTTTAGAGGGGAAGCACGCTTCTGCATACTCAGTGTCACCCCAGGTCATGGTTGCAGCCCTGTGATCCCTGCGCCTTTGGGTTTGGCCTCAGTTGTCCCTCTCTACCCACAGGCACGATCCCTCATTCTCATCCCCTCCTTGGTCACACAGACGGATTCACTTCCTCCTCAGCAGTGCAGGAAAAGGCAGGTGCACCTTGGCGATGTTCATTTTTGGTGGTGAGAGTAAGGAGTCTCGTTAAAGACCACTCGGGCATGGTGGCATGATTTTTCCCACGGGCGAACCCTGAAGGCTACGTTGAGCTTGTAGCTCTCCCTGAATGTCAGAGCTATGGGGACTTCAAAGGCAACCAGGTCTGGGCCTTTACCAGCCTAACCACTCAGTCTTCCTGGCTGACCCTTGCAGGCCCCCATGTCAGCTGTGGCTTGCTGCTAGCAATGGGAGATACCACCCTAGAAGGCAGGAGGGAACAGGACATCTCCTCCCTCAGCTAACTCAAGTGGTATCTCTGCCCCGGCCCCAGCTCCTGCCAGAGGCCTGCCATGTTTCCAGCCTCCAGAGTGACCACAGGCCTTGGGTTGAGCTGACCACACCTCCTCCCTTTCCCCCTCCAGCCCTGGAGTGGAGATGGCTTCTGGCTGAGGCCAATCTCTGGGCCAGCATTCGTCGGGTTTCAGCACTTGTATTATCCACAGATTTTCTGTATTAAATTCCTTCTGCTGAGAAACTTGAAGTTTCTATTTTCCATGTTAGACCCAGATACATAGCCCCACCCTCCCCTGCCCCTTCATTAAACCTGTCAAGAAAACCAAGCCAAGAGGGATGTGACTCCTCCAAAGAAACATTCAGACACTTTGTCAGGGACTCAGATGGGTTTCTTGGTTTCTCTCTCCCACCTGTTTGCAAATTTTGGAAGTGCTGCCTTTTTACTTGAAATCCAGCAGTCATTCATTCTAGTCCTTTTACTAAGTATGCCCTCTGGATGTTAAGCCAAACTAATTCCTTCTGGGAGATGGAGATGCATAATTAGAGTAGCTCAGGCTGTGACCACAGTCAGGTAGGTCCCTCCTGCTTCCAGGCCTCCATTTCTGCATCTAAGGATGCAAAAGCAATGCCCCAGGACCATTTCCCGGAGTCCTTAAAAATTTCTCTAGGGCTGGGCATTTGGCACAGTGGTTAGGTTAGAGACCACTTGGGACATCTACATCCCATATTAGACTGCCTGGGTTCAAGCCTGTGTTCTGCTCTGAGTCCAGCTTCCTGCTAATGTGCAGCCTGGGAGGCAGCAGGTGATGACTCATGTACTTAGGACCCTGCCACCCATGTGGGAAACCTGGATTGAGTTCTGAGGTCCTGGATTCAGCCACATCCAGCTACAGCTGTTGGGAGAATCTGGGAGTGAACCAGTGGATGGAAACGTGCCTTCTCTACCTCTCAAATAAATAAAAGTAAATAAAATTTTAAAAACTTCTCATAACATATGCAGCAAAATTCAAGTCCTCATAGTTTGGGGCCAGATGGCTTCTTGATGCTGCAAAGTAGGTCTAATTTCATAGTTATTTAAAATATGCCATATCCTTTAAATACAGTGCTTCTGCTAATTAACACTTCATAATTTCTCAAGAGTCCCACGGGCAATTGTTGCCACTTGTAACTGGTGAAAGACAGTGTCAAGAAAATGAATCCTATTTCTTTCCCAAATCGCAGCCCTGGGATGGTATCTGTGAAATGTCTCATCTCCCCCATGAGGGGAATGGAGCCGGAGAGAAGAGATGCATGCCAGCCAGTGGCTGGATGACAGGGACCTGGGAGCACCACACCTTGGATACCAGTGTTCTTCAACGGCAGATTTGGGACCAGACAGGTACACAGCTACACGGAAGTCAGTGACCTAACAAGAAGACACAGACACATGCCCACGTGTATACATGTGCCGCACCTGCAGTGCCAAATGGCTGCAGTCTGGGTGAGCCTGAGAGCCAAGGCCACCTGATCCACAGGTGCAGAATGGCAGCTGGGATGCTCTGCCCCACATCACACCAGGCCTCCTAATCATTCTCCCCCACTCTCTGCCTGGCATTTCAGCATTTGGAGATTTGGCAAATAAAATAATCACAATTTTTAAAGCTGGAGCTCCTGAGAGTGTTGGTCAGACACTCATCAATCTTTCCCACATCGGTGCAGTCTGAGAAGACAGCATTCTTGGTGCTCCAGATGTTGGGGGCTGGCAGGTCAGGGAGTCAAAGGGAACTGAAGACGACGCTCTGGGGTGGGGGTACAGGCTGCCTTGCCTGATAGTAACAGGGGCCCTGGACACCCGGGAAGCTGGGGAAAACAGGTCCTAGAGGGTGATGGCACACCAAAGGAGGGGAGAGAACACCTGCTTCCCCTGGTCTGCCCAGGACCACCTGCCTGGACAGGCGGCCACCATCCACAGCTACGCTGCCTGGCAAGTGCTTCCTCTGTGCAGGGAAAGGGAATGTGAGCAAAAGGCGGACCAAGACAAGGGACAAAAATGCCAGAAGGCTGCGTGTGACTCCATTGTGAATCCACTTCTTTACTGGAAATAGCAAAGCACTGGAGGCAGGCTTTTTCCTGTCACCACCCTGGAAGTTCTGAGAGGGCAGGGACTTACTT